TATCTTTCGTCCCTCTTTTGTAATTAACCCAATTAACAGTTTGCAGAGATTACAGTTGACTATCATACGTTTGTTTTACGCTTTTACATAAACATTGCTTAAATATACAACAAATCATACATTCTTAAAAGTAATTCTTGTTAAGCCAGACATTTTCAAGACCAATAAGAAACAACTCATAATTGATCAAATACAACAATTTTGACTTATAAGTGCTTATTTCCAATGCATCAAATATATAATATATATGGAAATATGTTTACTGTGTTGAACCAATATCTGACCATTCTATGTACATGATGTATAACATGTACAGTTAATTCAAAGATTTCTGCAACCAAAGGTGTATGTGTACCACACATTGCGCAATCATATAAAAAGTATTAACAGCGTTTTATAATCTGACAAGCCTCAGAAAAAGCTTGTCCAAAATAGAACACATTTTACCTAACACAGCTAAAAAGAGGTTCAATTGATACAGACGGATCCAAATATTGTAACTATTGAAACAACAATCAAACTTTACAATTAATGTAAAATACAAAGACGTGATAGTGTTCGTGAAAAATATCATAATAAATTCATTTAGTATTTTAAATATAGAAGTTCTACACGTATCGATGAATTAATGGATGGTTTAATGTGTCGTTGTTTGATTACCATTTTTATAGAAATATCAAGTAAACAAATAAGTAATTTTCCGTTTTAAGAATACCACTTGAATGTCCTCATATTGTTCAACAGCATTAAAATATCTTTAGAATAAAAATGATTGTTAAAAAAGACAAAGAATGAGAAAGGACTTATGTATCCTTATTTTGTACTGAGGATCTGGTTTGCTACCAACAGTCTTGGGATATGTAAATAAATGGTACAAGTAGGAATGTCAATATGAACCATGTATATTTAATGTGAAAAATGATAATGATACATGACTTTTACACTAAGCTTGATGTTTTAAATTGACTTTTTTGCTATTGATCTGAAGATTTGTTCGGGCGATGGTGACAAAATCTTCATGTTTCTTTTAAGTTTCAACATGCCGCCACATCTTTGAAAGTTCTATTACCATTAGTGTCATGACATGCGACATGAATTGCAAATTCTTCAATAAGTCCATGAACACCAAAACTCCAATTTTAACAGCGATTGAAGCTGTTCTTATAGGTTACAGCAGTACTGCTTATTATATTAGTATTGTTAATCAAATACGGAGACTAAAATATTCCAAATATCTCTTAACGTACTTCATTTATAGAATCTTTCTATTTCAAACATATAAAACATTTGTTTCTATCTGTTGATGGGTATTCCACAATCACGTGTTGTGTGTTATGTGCACGCTCATAGAAATCGGTATCATATGTTGTTTTTAACCAATAATAGGTCGTTACCCCCGCTGAAAATACTTTGAGTCTACGAGTATACTACTAATAACTAGTAATGGTTTTTGTTTGATATAAATGAAAAATGCTACCATGGGGATACAAATTCATTATGTTTTATTTGAATAATAATTATAAATTCCTGGGAAAGATTTTGGATGTAAATTCTTTTAAAATTTTTAGACTTTTGTGATTTATTGAGGGGGCAGTAATAAAGATGAACCATAACAGCAGTGGTTTGAGTAAGCAGTATGTTTATATAAAATTCTTAATAATGTTATTTGTTTTAATCAGAAGATTACGCTTGAAATTTATAAAGGTTATTTTCATTTAATACAGCAGTCGGGCGATACCGCTGCTTGTTGACTATCACTCCCCGCGGGTATCATCAGCTCAGTAGTCGGTACTTCGGTATTGACATGTATGTAATTAACATTCTAAGTTATTCGTTTATGAATTCAGAAAGTCACATAGCTCTTCAATTGTTTCGGTTTTTATATATCATTGGCTTTCAAAAATTCTTGAGCGTTCCTGATGATGGTAAATCCAGAAAATTTTAAAAATGTTCTTCTTATTTTTTTTAAATTTATAAGAAGTGACAAACTATGCAGTTTATAGAATTTTATTTTCTGTAACACTATGTCCTCGTGACTAAATGTTTTACAATCCAAGGTTTTAAAAAGATAAATTTCTCCTTTCTTTTCTGTAACGCCTTATTTATTGAGTCGTAATAGTTATTGGAAATCATCCATCATAGAATAAAAAAACTCACAAGGATACCAGGATATTACTTGATACTCATCAATTTATCTATAACTCCGAAATTTTGTATATTTTAGATTTTTTTTTCTGTTTTCGAGATAGTTAAAAAAAAAATGAAAACAAAAATGGAAAAATTCCATGCCTCCGAAAATCTTGTCTGGATTCGCCTTCATCATTAACGCTCGAAGCAGAATATTTGAAAGACAAATCATGATTAAATCAAAAATGTTATTTCTTGTGAATTAGTCATAGGAGCCGACAGGCAAACCATGTTAGAGAGTAAAAATTAGATTCCTAAACTTATGTAGAATTTATCAGCAAAAAAGATAGTTTGTTTCAAAGATGTGCAAAGTAAAAAATATGGAACAAAATTCTGACAATTAAAGTTTTTAATTCCATTCATATCGATATTAAAATCCAATCAAACTCATAACCCTCATTAAAAATAACTCATTACATAACTTTCGTATCTGAAGGTTTTGTCACTTCTAGGTGATAATACTAATCTATAAACCGTTTACATGTTTTTGTAGATATATAGAGATATTGGGACCTTTCATAATTGCGTTTTGCCACTGTCTGATGATTTTTCATTGATAAATGTGATTTGATTCAGGGCCTAGAATAAGTTTTTGTTTATGTTCCCTTTCATAAAGTTAATTTGAAGTTGTAGTTGATATCAGGAGAAGTAACAGTATGTAGGAGTTAGTCCTGTTCTATGGTATAAAGTTGATACTTGGTAATAGTTTAGCTGGATCTTAGTTGGCAGTCATTTCTTTGTTTGCAAAAGGCCAAGCTGAAAGGATAATTTTTAAAATGTATTATCAAAGTATAAAGATGTTTAATTCCAATGTTCACAGTTTGATACATCCAATACAGATAATTCGCAATGTATATTCCACAAGTATACAAATGTAATTAAATATCTCACAGATAATTTTATTGTTCTCAGTAGGTAAGCATGCAAAAGATTATAAATCTACTGATGAAAATATTCAACCCACAAAGTTATAGCATATCATTAGATTTAAAACTAAAATACTGGAAAACTGACCAAAGCATAAAGTTCTAGAATTCTAGTTTAAGACTATCTTGAAAAATGTAAAATGATATAAATAATTAAAAAAAACAGCTGGAACATTCTGCAGCTTTTCATTGTTCTATCGTATTCTTTGTGTCAAAAAGATTAGACCAAGTGTGACAATATGTGACAAAATACAAAAAAGAAAAAAAATATAAGTAAAGTGTCACCATTTATTGTAAATAAATATCAAGTAAACCACCATTAAAATTAGTATATCTCATTTTATATTTGAAGAATTATCAAAAAACACTTTTAAACATAACATGATATAACTAAAACGTGTTCGGAAAATTTTACAAAAGTGAATTCTCTCTTGTGTGCAAACGACTGCTATTTTATATAATGTGTATGTCACTTGTCACCATCTTGTATGTCCTTTCATACATTCTGCTTGCATTTTTAGAATACCGTTTAAAACAATACAAGCATGAAATTACACAAGTAAGTGCATCTAGACTATATCCTAACAACTGAATGACGTTATGAATACATGCAACATGGTTCCTGAGAATATTATCAATCCAATTACGAGAGCTATCATAGACTACCAAAAATCACATATGAATTAAACCGAATGACAATAGTACGAATGTAAATCAAGTGAACATAAGGATCAAATAGTACATGTTTTTTTTAAAAACAAACATACATATATTTTGAAAGAATTCATTCGATATTTTATCAGAAAATAAAAGATTTTAAGTTCAAGTTTAACAAACAGCAGCTATATGTATAATTTGACCAAATTCTCTGACATGACCTAAGGTATTTAACTCTGATATCTTGAACCAGTATTTGATCATCCGTAGCTCACTGTTGACAATCAAATGTCTTCAAGCGAATTTAAAAAGAAACCTTGATATTATTTGTGACCAATTTGGCCGGAAGTATATACGAACTCTGTATTACAGGCCTGATAGTAATTCAGTACATTCAGTACAGTCTCTTTGGCTGAAGTTTGATATGATTACGGTATGACGCATAGCAGATACCAAGGGTACACAAGTCTTTTGTAGACGAAACGCAAGTCTGGCGTACACAATTGTAAGCCTAGTATCTATAATGTGTTTATTCAAATTTACAGCATATAAAAACCAATGACTTCGTTTTAAAAGCTTGTCCAAATACAACACACAAATGTTAAAACATCACAGCAATCAAACTTTATAAAAATAGACAAGTACAAGTTCTGGTCATAAACATTTCATAGAACTTGTTATGTGTATTTTACAAAGAAATTTAAGACATATCGACCTAATAATGGAATGTTTAGCATATTATTGTTTAAATCAGTTTAACAGAAGCCTTTTTTTAACAAATTCTTTTTTTATTGTTTGTAAAAACCACTTGGAGGTCTCAATATCAATATATATATATATATTAGCCCTGAAATATATTTAAATCAGAATAAATTTATTTTAGATGGAAAATTAACATAGAATTTATATAAAAAAGAAAGAATTTCTCTGATGAACACACAGAGAATGCTTGCAAACGTGTTTCTAATAAAAATTTCACAGTCGGTCACCATGCACATTACATTTGATAAACACTAAGAAAACATTAATAAGATGCAAATCAGAAGATATGCATTTTTGTTCAGGGGAACAATAATAAAGTTTATATTAATTTAACATCTAAATCCCAATTGCTAATATCGGTAAAGCTTTCTGGAGTAGGTAATCATCGTATATATACTTCAATATTGGGGTTTTGCCTATATGTAAAGTCGTCGTCATGATTTGACCTTTTTAATTTCCCAATCGTTTTCAGGCACGTATCTCGCAAAGGAAAGTTTTCTTTTCAAGGCCAATGTCATTCCATTTCCAATTGTCATTTGCATTGAGATAGAGGTAAAGTTCAGGTGGACCATTACTAGGTTGGTTTGCGTTCCATTTGAAATAATTCATCAAAGTTCCATCGTCAAACAACCAATTACCTGTGGAGTTTTCCTTTGTTCCTTGGACAGTCACATCAACGGTTACATAAAATACTGTTTCTACAAAAAAAACCGCAGAGATAAAAATCGAACTTGTTAATCCTTCAGCGGGAGACTCAATGTTATGTATCTCGAATTAATTTTTCTCTTGGCCATTAATGAATGTGGTATAACAAATATCGTAAATAGTAAATCTGTCAGCGGTTGACTCCGTGCAATACGTCCGGAATTTAAATTGTCTAAAGAATATGTTAAAATAATTGAATGGTCTTCTCAAGGAAACAACATAAAGTTTCCTAAGATTAATGATAGAACGTCAATAAAAGTCATATGAAACTTCAAAAAAAAAAGAGAGTGGAATATGTTTTATATACGTTTTACTCTAAAAGAAGTGAACGTGAATTTTTTTTAAAAGAAAATCCTGTATATTATCAAAATCTTCATAAATGTACCGATATTGAATTATTGACCTCGCAGACACTAATTCGCCGATATTTTCCAATATGCAGTGACTTTCACTACGAGACCTCTCGTTACAACTTCGGCCACCGCACAGCGCAAGTGCGATTGGATAACCGTGAAATAACAGTTTCTTAAAGAACAAATTAAATACAACAAATCATTTATCAACTGTTAAGGAATAATTTAATTAACAAATGGGAACACATGGAAAATACAAAAACAAATGTCATGCCTCTTTCAATTCACTTATCTGTCACGCTTTCCACGTGCTCTGTTTTTTTTTTGTTTTTTTTTATCAATGTCGTGATCCGGTAAACTTCGGCAACAAACTCGAAAGTTAATTAGCCCGCGATCAACAACCACTGAATGAAATATTATGTGTCGATAATACGTTATAAATGTGTAATAAATATAATATACGTGCATGCAAGAATTAATTTAGTATTTATGCATGCATTGGTTCAATAATTTCAATAACATTGAAATTTCAAGAAAGTCTTTTCATATGACTTTAAGCTACCAGACAAATATATATAACATTATACATATTTATTATAAGGTCAAATCCTAACTATCCTACTGCCTGTCGATACTTTTATTTTGGCATTGCACAACTCATGTCTTCTTTGACTGTCCATGGCGTTAAATTACCTAATCCCTGGGATGTGTTTTGATTGATTTTAGTCTCTGCTGCATGATTTTTTATTATTAATTGTTTTTGGCTTTTAACTAGCTTTCATTAACTGCAAGTACTCTCAAATCGTACTTTTGTGTTGATTTGACCTGTTGACACAATTTGTGATGCATTTTTGTTATTCAATATTTGCTTGTTTTGTGTTATATCACGTCTCACTATTCTTTATATGTACCTTTGATAAGTGTTTAGTGTTACGATAAATTTTCACTTTTGTTCTTGTACTATGAAAAACACATTTTTTTAAATTATTTTTTAAATATTTCGGTATTCCTAACAAAATTATTACTAATAGTTACCTGTGTACGTTATTTTGTTTAACGCCATTTTGTCCCAGGTTAAAGTTGTCTTTTTGACATTGTTTATATTGTATTTATATTGCGTCAAAAACCAAATTTATTCATTCAGTGTATGTTTACTTGTTTTTGTTTATATGTCTTTTTGATCGAGTTAAGTCATTTCAATTGATATTTAAAAGAGCGTCTTTCTATGTTGTAAAGTTAAACTACTGTTTCATGTTAGGGTGAAGGTTGGCGCCTGTTGAAACGTTTAAACCCGCTGCATTTGTTTGCACCTGTCCTAAATCAGGAACATTTTGTTCAGTGGTTGTCGTTTGTTGATGTAGTTCATAAGTGTTTTTCGTTTCTCGTTTTTTTATATAGATTATACCGTTAGTTTTCCTGTTTAAATTGCTTTACACTGGTCATTTATGGGCCCTTTATAGCTTGCTGTTTGGTGTTAGCCAAGGCTCTGCGTTGAAGGCCGTACTTTGAACTATAATGGTTTACTCTTTACAAATTGTGACTTGGATGGAGAGTTGTCTCATTGGCACTCATATCACATCTTCTTATATCTTAATAAATGCAGGCTGGATATTCGTAAATTAATTAAAGAACCAAAAATCAAATCTCATAAATCATTTAAGATACAAATCAAGATACAAAACACAAAAAACAATAGAATCGAATGAACTTCAAAAGGAGCGATATCGAAGGGAGAAGTCTTCTGCTATGCATGCACCACCCGCCATGAGAAACCAGACTCGTAAACAAGACATCAACTATAAGGAACAAAATACAAACAGAGAGGATTTTGTAGGTGGAATAAACGTTCTTTTCCATGTTTATGCAAGTAAAACTATCACGATTTGGATTCTTTGATATAGAAGAACCATCAGGTTGTTTGTCTAATAAAATTTCTCTTGCAGAATTCTCGTATTGTCTTTAATGGCTGATGACGTAACGGGCCTCTACTTAATATTCTAAATAGAACATGCTTGTAGAAACGTTTAAATAAAATGGTTAAACGGTTTTTATTGTTGATGAGCTTTTACAACCACTTAGTCGACGCCACTGCTATTGGTTGTTTCATCCCCGAGGCTATCACCAGCCCAGTAGTCAGCACTTCTGTATTCACATGAAATACCATTGTTTTTATTCATTCTATAAAGTTCAATATGTTAATAAAATGTCTTTCGAAATTCTGAGATTGTTCGACCCCTTGGCATAGATTGCCTTAGTCGTATTGGGCACACCTTTTCGGACTTGTTGATTTGAGATGCTTTTCAATTTCGTATTTGTCTTAGCCTTCTAACTCCTTTGATTCGAGCGCCATTTGTAATTTAAACGGGCGTCCTGTGTAAGTTATGAGCCTTGTATCTTTGATGACTCTTTTCGTCTGAATTTTTAACTTTCTATATTGAATAAATTAGTATTTCATCATATAAGCCTGTTTGTCAAGACAAAATTTCACATAGTATCTGGATAATTAAGGTGGTACCTAACACTACAGGGAGATAACTCTGTAAAAATCAGCTAAACGTTTTAGCTTAGCTAAACGTTGAATTGTTAAGGAAATATTAAGCTTCTCAATGATCAAAATTAGTGTTTGTCAAACTGCTATATAACCAAAGAAATGTTTCTGATAAAGTGGTTGGTTCAAATTTTTTGAAATTTTTATATTTTTGTCAAAGAGTCAAAGTAAACATTTTGTCAAAATTTTAGGAAAATTAAACGAGCCAAATTAATGTTAGTCAAGGTGTTGAGTACCATCTTAAAGTATTGTCAGAGACATACAATACTTTGGCCTCGAGCATCATTGGAGACCTACTTATTGTAGAAATGCAAACATGGTGAGTAAAATGTGTACCTTTAATGTTATAAATAATGTTTTATATGTCTCAGCTTTTTATGACAAGTGTCATTTTCGATACTCTCTCTTTAATAATAATTGTCAAAAGAAATATTGAGCTTCTTACTCAATATGCTTTCCACCGTTGTCTGTTTGCTGGAACTGTCTATTTTTAATAATTCTCCGCCATCTCGTCTACAAATTATCCTTGCTGAGTAATACTCTAACCCATCATCATAATACTTTATGCAATAATCATCGTCTTCTATAAATTTACACCCATCTAGCAACCTACAAGCTTGTTTACTGCATCCTATTGAGATTTCAAAAATATTCATTTATCTTTTTACGAAATTATTACTAGAGGCATTGGTATTATCCCTATCCCAAGAAATATATGCTGCTTACTATGGACAATAATAAAATCGTGTATGATAAATTAGGGGACTCGGTGGCCGAGTTGCCTAAGTAATGGAACTACTGTATCACTATCCTTGTCATTATTTGTATTAAAATCTAACAGAGGAAGAAAAATATATGCATAAAGCAAAAGACCATTGTCTCATTTTGTTAGCTTAAATGATTCGTTCTTTCCTCACTTCGCGATGAGGGAGTTGCTCGACATCTATTAGAGTGGAGAAGGAATTCATATTTCTCAGTTTTGCAAATACTGATAATATTTGGTAAATTATGTGTGTATCGAATGTATGACAAATGTCAAAAGATTTTGAAAATTCCCCATTCGAGAGAGTAATACCCAAATTAACTACTCTTCCAAAAAGTTTTTGAGATTCGTTTCGATGTAGAGCCTGGGATAGGGTACTCGGGCGCACAGATGATTCAGTATACACGCCGATCTAGTGTTTATATAATATATTCAAAATATAGATCATATATCAAATATTAGCTTTCAAAGACTTGGAAACTCCCGTAATACAATTTCGTCTCTTTATCTTTCTTCGATGGGTGTATAAATACATAAAAAAAAATAGTAAGTTCATAAAAGTTTCCCAAATCAAATATAAACCAGAGCGGTATAAATTCCTTGTAAATAAAATACACCTGTATGAAAAATAATGGAGTATTTGAACAAAAGATTGACGTAATATATTTGAGTATATTTCTAAAGGATAAACCTTGAGTGGATGTGTATAAAAATTGAATATGGCTTCTCTTAAATATTGGGTGTGTTTTAAATTAAATTTTTTGACAGAAACACTTATCGTAATCGAATGCATTCACTGTTTTTTTTTGTGATATGTCCATTGGCAAAAATTACAGTTATATCGACAATTAACATGACGGAGGTAATCTTGAAATGTTTAAATGAAATTAGAGTAACTTTTCATTTGAGATAAAGAAATAGAACACGGAATCCAGAAATGTTTGTAATCGTGTGGATTCTTTTTTTTTTAACTTTTATTGTTTCCTATCTGATAATAGGGAAGAATGAAAAATACTTTCAGTTTGAATGAATTGCTATTTAAGAGTCATCTGAAAATTGCACATGGCCTGTTACAAACTTATTAGTACAACTGTTTTACCATGACGCATTAAATACGCGTTCGTTGTAATGAAAAAAGGGGATGTCGGGTATATTATTAGGTGATGTTATTTTAACATTACCTTATGTCTATTTTGTAATGGTGAATTGTTAATTATTTTTATTACTTAAACATTACATAATGATGTTTCAAAATTTTACGATTTCAAACTACATAATGTGTTCGTTCCAGTATTTGATGTGGTTCTGTCATTCTTTTGTGTGGTTATC